GATTTACAGTTTAATGCACAATCGTCTTGCCCCGCGCTCGCGTTTGCCCTCCACTTGCCTCTAATTACTCCGGGCCGAGGCTTCGGCCTTAATTGAAATACCGAGTCCTTGCTAACGTTCGCCGCTCGCTCGAGAGCTGTCGTGGTGCCAGGGCGCTGGTGTGAAGTATCGGTGCAAAATATTCAATCTTGTAACAGTCAGCGCGATTATCGCTCCCGAGAGGTTCATTTTCAACTTCGCAAATCGCGATCACGCCAAAGCCAGTAAAGCAAATTCTACGAACACTTTGACAAATTCTCCCTTCGTCGCTTCATTAGCCAAATACTATACTTTCACACATTAACGATATTGTTAAATACAATAAATTATATTATCGGTAATATTTCTCAATAACAATAGTCGAAGAGAATATTTTTAGTTATCTTATGTAAAAAAAATATCCATTTCGAAAAGATATAAACGTTCGTTGATTCGTGATTCGCGACCGGGTGTTTTCGTCGCGTCATTTCCGCGCAGACACACTCCCCCCCCCCCTTCCTCCGCATTCGTCACAAAAATATGAATTCACGAAATTCTGCTCCGTGATATATATATATATATATAAAAGAATACCCCCTGCCTCCACCGTCTTTTCCCGATCCGCTCCGTCTATCGCGGCCGCCAACCTCTTCATCTTCTCCTCGTGTAGTAAGGAAACGCGAACCCCCCCGGACGGCGTTTCTCATAAAGTCGCGAGCTGGCGCGTAATCGCGGGTATATTAAAGCGCGAGAAGATCAGCGTGGGGAGGATTCCGCGAAATAAGGAAAATTCCGCCGGCGAACACTTATATAAGCGCGATATGACGGGCGTCAAACGAGAAAATCCGTTACGCATCCGCAAGATGGAATCCGCATCTCGGAAATGATATGTGTTCCCGCGGGGCCGGGATTGCGAAATTTTTTCGCGGTGTTAAAGGCAAGCTGTCTTTTGGAAAACGTCACAAAACCTGCCGCAAAGCGGAAAAAGCGGTTATGGCTGATTTTTAGTTAACATTCCACGGAAATTCTAATCTAGTCTTTTTCTTTGTCTGTTTTAAAAACATTCCGTGAAAAATTTGTGCATTTATCAATTTTATTTTTATACAAAAGTCCATGCTTGCATGTTATTTTGTTCTAATACAGCGAGCTAGACAGCTTGTCAGTGATTAAAAAATTATAGCTAATTTTTTATTAATACTTTGCAAATCCAGACGTTTTTCTTACTTGTTTTCGAAATATTCCAAAAATTTGTACGTATTTATCAAATTTATTGCGCAAGCATGGATTT